TACCTACCCACACATGAATGGGTCAGCTGCTTTTGCCACCCTGGTCACTCTGGTGGCGCTAGCATTTGTCGCCATTGGCTCTAAGGGAGGATGTGGATCCGTTCCTGGAGTCCACCCCAGTGTCTGTCACACACAGCTGCAGTTTTGGGAAGCTGCTTATTTCCAAGAGAAGTCTGGAGGAAGTGGTGGGGACAAATGGCAGGCTTCTGCGCTCACTAAACACTTGGTGGAGTGAGTGCGTGCTCCAGGCTGGCCACTGCTGGGCAGCTGTGTGTTGCTTTTCTCATGGCTGGGACAAAGTGTCTGACACAAAGAAACCTGCAGAAGGGAGTGTTTATTTTAGTTTTCACTTTTAAGGGACATCCATCCTAGTAGGGGTGGCGTGTCTCAGACCATGAAGAGGCCGATAGCATTGCACGTGCAGTCAAGAAGCCAGTGATTGCTGGCGCTCAGCTTGCTTCCCCCTTTTTCCCCTGTTTGATTTAGTCTAGGACTCCAGGCACCTTTGGGTTGGTGCTGCTCACGGTCAGGTCAGACCGTCCTCTCTGTTATACTTCTCAGGGAACACCTCCACTCACTCTCAGAGGTGTGTTTCTGTGCCTCTTCCAAGTCCTGGCCAGCTGAAGCTGACTGGCCAGCATCAGAGGGCACAAGCTGATAAACACATGCTTCACCTCCTCACACCTGCTTCCTTGGGTGGCTTCTGCTCTTGAGTTGTGAGTGAGGGCAGAGGGAGGCCAGCTGCCCGGCCTTGGAACTCATTTCCAGCTCGGCCACTCGCTAGCGATATGACTCAGGGATGTTGTTTATCCTCTCTGAGTCTCCATCATCCACTCCCTCCCGAACACTTAACCAACCGAGCACCTGCCATGCGGATCCCGAGTCCTCACAGGGACGTCTGGACAATGGGCACTTTTTGAAGAAAGCAACATCAGTAGCAAATGCCAGGGACCATTTGCTCCATGGGACAGAAGAGTCAGCAAGGCCAGGTGGATTGGAAGTGGAGGCCGATTCACAAACAGGCTGCTTTGCATTAAAGTACGGGGTTTCAGGGAGAGCCTCCATGGTCAAAGTCTTGAAGGGAGGGGGAGAATCTTGGAGATGTGTCTAGGAAGTTTGCTCTGGAGGGGACAGGGCTAGAGCAAAGGTCCTGGGGTAGGAGTGAGCTCAGTAAACAGGAGGTGGGGCAGAAACATGAGATGGGAGGAGGACACATTAATTGAATGATTTGTAAGATGGTGATAAATGTTTTAAAAATGCTTCCTCTGCATAAAGGAGGTCATCCCCCCACACACCGCTACTCTGACCCCCACATAACCCTACCCTAACCCCCACACACTCCTGCCCTGATCCATAACCTCCTGTGCTGAATCTCCGGAGAGCCCAATCAGGAAGCCCAGTGAGAGGGAACTTCCCCACTATTAGCCTCTTTTGCAGTACGCGCCTTGCCCTTGTTCCCAGCCCCACCCAACTGTCCATCTCGTGTGATTTGTCTCTAAGAGCAGGGACTGTGTCCTTCCCTTGAACGGTGTTTGCCAGGGAGGAGGTGGAGGGCAGGATGGTACAGACAGGCTATGGTGGAGGAGAACTTCTGCACAGCTACATAGTGTGGGACATAGGGTGCACAGCAGGGCCTCTGCATCTCTCTCCCGGGGTGCCACACGCTGGTCCTTTGCCTGTGTGTGTGTGTGTGTGTGTGTGTGTGTGTGTGTGTGTGTGTGTGT